ATAACTCGATTACTTAACTCCAAATAGGTCCCACCTACACTGGACTTGCCAAAATACCCCAAGGAGAGGGTGCATCGGTCATAATATGCAACATCTGGAGAATGTAACAGGGCACTTTTTATAAGGTGGGGTCACAGCATAAACTCCTTTCAAATTTAGTCTCATAGAAGTTTCCTCCCTCAATTTCATCTTTTGTAGATTTTATAGGAGTTCCAAATTTTCAGGAGCATAGTTTGTTTTTCCTCCCTTAAACTCCCCATGTACATAGGAGTATACAGGAGTGACATAAACAATGAGCAGTAAGATAAAAACGAAAGAAACTCTAAATGAAAGAATTTGTGAGAGTTTACTAGGTAACACAATTACAAATGAGAGAAAGAAATTTCCATATAGTTCCTTGAGCTGTCTAGCAATAAACCATGAGTGAACCAATAATAAGTGATTATCTACATATATCTATACTATTATATTAAGTGAAGGCTGTCCAAGCCTTTGCTTGCTTCTCCTTATGTCACGCGTCCCTCATTTTTCTACTTAAAATAAAAAATAAAAAATTGATAGATGAGAGGAGTGTGACTCAAACCTTGGACCTTGGGTCTAATGAAGAAGGCTCACAACTTGAGTAGCACATAATATATAGAAAACATTTTGTTTTATTGTTACTTATTTGAATTGCACACGCATCACGTGTGACAATAGCTAGTACAATATAAACCAAACAATTGGACAGATTTAGAGGTCATAAACTAGAACAATGGCAAGTGTTATCTGCTCCCAGTGCTGTGCTGCAAGTTCAAGTCACAAGAATCAACCTTTCCACCCCCAAGAAAAAAAAAGTGCTGCCAATTGAAAAATCCAGCCCACACTTCTCCTTAAAATCTAGGTATGAAGGAGAGGGCAATTGAAACCTTATAACTGGCACAGATGGGATAACTCCAGGCGATGTGGGACAATTACAACACACCCTCTTGGACCACAACCTACACTAGCCAGACAAACGGCACACCAGTCACAGGCCTAACCAAACTCTAATACCAAATTTAAAAGCCCAGCTTATACTTCTCCTCAAAACTCAAGTATTAAGGAGAGGGAAACTGAAACCTTATAATTAGCACAGATGGGACAACTCCATGCAATGTGGGACACATTCGAACACTACCTACTTACTCTCTCTCCCAAACACTAGTGTAAATGGGAAACTTATGCATTGGGTATGACCTTTAACATTGGAGAACAGGTTTCATTTGTCTTTATATCGTTTATGAAAGATCATCAATGTAAAAATATGATGTGCACAAAACTTAGTAAGTCAACATTGTAAACATAAACATTACTATCTTTGGGGCAAATTAATTTAGGTTTCAGGTAGATCTAACTACTAAATCTTAGGACAAGACAACACAGTGAAATATCTAAGTTTCCTTCTTCTGAACTAAGGGTGAAATGAAACATAAGAGCCCACAAGGGTGTTAGAATATAATATGTAAAATGTTGCTTTAATAATTAGGTTAGTGTTAGAATTTACCATCACCTACCACACACTCACCTACTACACTCACCTACTCCTCACCTACCACCACCTAACCTACATCTATATAATCAATCCATTGTAACAAATCAACAAATCAAAATCAATATAACTCAATCAATTTTATACATTGTATTTTTACATGGTATCAGAGCGGGGTTAAGAACCTGATCATTCTGCTTCACCGGCGGGCGGCAGCCTCGCCTTGGCCGCCCGCCGGACCTCTACACATACCTTCACTCCTTTGCCAGAAAGTCATAGCTGACCTTTTCTCTGACCTCCTCACCTTTGAGTATCAACTTCAGGATCACCTTTTACCAAACTTTTCCATCATTCCATTTGGTTCTGTTTGGTCAGAAGTACAGAGATGGATTTCTGATCCTCTAAGCTCCAGAAGCAGTCTTCAACCTTGATAGACTGAAACAGTTCACCATCAATTATTGGAGGTTGACCCTTAAGTCCAACTTTCAGATGGTTCTTCTTCATCTCACATGCAATCTCCCTCGATTTTGTTCCAGGAGGGACTGGAATATTAATTGTAACTTCTTGCAAGGTTTGAACCCGAGAGTACTTATCCAGATCAAGACCATTGCCTTTATTGGGAGCTGGTAAGATATTTAAATTGAAATGTAGTATAAAATGTTAGTTAAACAAAAATATCATCTCATAAGATAAAAGTATAAGCAAGAGTCCACATATTGCCTGATGATGATCACACCATCTTCACAGAAATTAAACTCACAATTCTTACCAAATGAGATAAGTTACACGGGGAAAAACGTAATCACTTCAGGTATCTTATGGCCACCTGAAAGCCATTAGACTTTGCTATGATGTGACAAATGAGTAACGACAGGTTTAATGGAGATGAGAACACTGACTTGTCTTGTAAAGTTATCATAAGCAAACAGCTTTGGCCTAACATATAACTAATTTGACAACAATCTAAAATTCATTTAACCTTTTCAACTACTTTCAAAATAAATTTGGGTACAGAAGTAGTAGCAGGAGCAAGATTTTACTTCAACCATGAACATAAAAACTCACACATCAAAAGTTCACTGCTTGTCAACTTCTTTGTACAACCCCTTGTTGCATCTATGAATAGGAAAAATAATGTGCTACTATATTTTTATTCAAAGCTATAGAGACAACTCATGCATTAGAAGTATGCAGAGTCCCTTTCACCAGGCTGCCACACTTTACACCACGTCTAGGAGTAAGAACCATTCCACACTCCGTCTGCCCTAGATCCAGATTGATCCATGCTCCAGATACAACTGATCTGAAACTCTCAGCCTCCTTATAAAATCTTTCATAGCCAGTATTCAAAGACTTGACGAAATTACCATATCATGTTAATTTCATGCCGCCCCAAAATTTTTGGCATTTTAAACCCAGTTTAAAATTTTCTATGCAATGTTCCAGTACCTCGTGCTACTATTTCATTGCTCTTATGATTGTTCAGATTGTCATCTCAATTATAACATTTTCTAAAGTTCATTTTGCTGATGAAACTCTATACTTGCAATAAGAGTACATTCACTTAAGCCTTTCTACTGATTTGTCAATGCATTCCTAAAATAGTAAAATATCATACTTGTCAATGCATACCTCAAATAGTAAAAAATCATTCATCAATATAGCCGCAATGAATGATGCTTCGCAGAGGCTAAAATCTACAAAGAACCAAAAGAACAAAAATGTGTTCAACTAAGGTAGTTTTTTTATAAAACAGAAAACTCAAAATTAAGTACTGAAAACTAAAGTTCAAATTTGTCAATCCAAAAAACAGTTTGGAATGTATTGAAACTTAAGCACTGATTTTAATTAAGTTATTTGATATGTACAAGAAGCTAAAATTTGAAATTGACTCATTTTCTAATTTTTCTATTTAACTCTTTATATTGTGGTTGTTGGTTGGTTGTGGTTTTGTTGTTGTCCTTTTTTTTTTTTTTTTTTTTGTTGTTGTTGTTGTTGTTGTTTTGGTGTTTGTGTGGAATGAAAACGAGTTGGTGGTGAAGAATTTTTATTTAATTTTTTTTTTAAGAAAGATAAAAGAAAATAAATAAAGTGGTAAACAAATATGAAGATATGATGAGAGGTGGGTGGCACAAGCTGGATGAATATTTTATGTATTGGCCCTCGGGGTGGAGGACAAAGAAGAGACAGCATGTGTTGGTTTTTGAGCTAAGGGAGGCACACACAAAAATAAAATAAAAGAATGATGATGAGAATGGGTAGTGGGTGGGTGGATGAGTAAAGGGAGAGAGAAAAAGCTGTTTGAGCGATGGGATGTGTTCGAGAAAAAAATGACTAGTAACATTCAATTTTTTTGATACTAGATCATGGCACCAATATCCTTTCTCAGTCCTAACCCTAAAAATACATAGGATAGAGTCTGCGTTGAGTTTATTACGGTTCCGTTTAGAAAGAATTGAACATACTGAACCAAAGACATGCAACAAAGAGTAATTACAAACTTTACCAAACAACTTTTCATAAGTGAGGCTTAAAAATGAAGTGGTTTGGGCATGATTAAGGACATATAAAACTATCAGGACGACCTCACTCTAAAAATAACACGAACACTCAAAGTAAGGAGAAGAAATTGAGTTATTTCAAGGATGTGCCTTTGTTTGTGCTCAACTTTACTGTTTTGTACTGGAGTATCTATCTCACGACCTTAACCTGCATCTAGAGGTTTTGGTCATGACTGGCCAGTAATCCTAAATTACCTTTGTCCTCAATAACAAAATCGATTCATATAATTATAAATGGGGCTTAGCGGAAGCAATAACAAAATATAAATATATTCATTGAGCGGTGCTTACATGACAAATTCCATAAATAACTAACTTCATTCTTCATTCATAATAATATATACAACCAACTTGAACTTCAACTTTCACAACATATATATTACATGTTCACCAACAACAAAACGAAAGATCAAACAAAAGGTTGACAAAAGCTTGTCTCCTCTACAGACCAAGCTACACCCCATCATGGAGGCACTTCTCATTCGGCTGCACAAAAGAGGGTGGACTCCCAAAGTAACTCTAGGCCTGTCGATCCACATGCTCACCTACATATATATGTATATATATCACGGAGAGGAGTAAGCTGGAACCTACTGAGTAACATCAATATAAAAGGTTAACGAATGAAGTCCAACATTCACAAAACATATCTTTCAATTCTAAACATTTCATATGTTAAATTCATATCAATCATCTGTTTTAACAATACCCATAGCAAATCATCATACATGGTAACATCCAATAGAGTAACAATTGTTAAAACCTATCACCTACTTCACCCACTTAAACCTACTCCACTAAACCTAACCCACTAAATCCACATACTCTCCACCTACTTCACCCACTTAAACCTACTCCACTAAACCTAACCCACTAAATCCACATACTCTCCACCTACTTCACCCACTTAAACCACTCACCATTTGTAATATAGATAACATTATATCAATCAATAATATACATCAATATATTTTACATGGTATCAGAGCAGGTTTAGAATCTAATAATTCTGCTTCACCAGCGGGCGGCAGCCTCGCCTTGGCCGCCCGCCGGACCTCTACACATACCTCCCATCCGCTGCCACAAATTCCATAACTGAACTCTTGTCTCTCTCTTCCATTCTTGCAATAATTGTAATCCTCCCTGTTTTGTTCTGAGGATTCAATATCTCAATAAGCTTAACCAGCTCATTTGGGTCCATTTTGTCACTCACCTTAATTCCAAGGGGATTAGCCATTCCTCTCAAGAACTCAACATGGGCACCATCAAGTTGCCGAGTTCGTTCTCCAGCCCAGAGGATATGAGCAGCCCAATCATAGTACCAGCCGGAAGTTGAATCCATCCTGGTAAGTGACTGCTCATAAGGCAAGAGCAAGCACTCATGCGATGTCCAAAAATTAGTGGTTGTCATGATAGGATGATCAACTGTAAGTCCAGCAGAGTGCCATGCGAGACGGAGCATTATCGGAGCACAGTTCTTCTCAGCGATGAGGCCTCTGAGCTTCCTCTTGGCTTTGTCAATAGCCTTCTTGTATTCCTCGCTCGCAGTCGGGTAACACTTCTCCATAGCTTTTGAGCTGAGACTGAGCAGAGAGAGACAGAATGCAAACCCCAGTGCGAGAGCTTCTTGCGGTGCATCGGCCTGCCATCCTTGTAAAAACAACCCCAAATGGTGCAGGTCAGCACGTGCAGCAAATTTTATCACAACTCTGAATTCCCTCTCTCTCCTAGCACCGCCTGTTCCATCATCTTCATCAATGAGACCAAATGGTGCAGGTCAGCACGTCCTAGCACCGCCTGTTCCATCATCTTCATCAATGAGAGTGATTTTGAACTCTTTTGAAGTGAAAGGGAGAGGACCCGCAGTATACAAGCTCTTTCTTCCGTCATAAGCAGGAAGCCGCTTGCCAAGATGAGATTCCCGATACATTTCACGTGGGTGGTAATTTGGCCCACGGTTACTGGTGGTGGTTTCTAAGTTCTGTGGGCTGGTATGTCCTATTATAATATATTATATTATTATAGTATGATATATTATATTGGTCATTATCTATCCAGCGCTTTTGACCTTCAAGGATCCAACCTCCTGTAACCTTTGTCGCTGTAATGGAGTGACCTGGACACCCATAACCCTTAATTGAGCCACCAGCAATACCAGCTGCATCAAGACCCACCATCAATATGCGGGACATCCCTCTCTCTCATCTTTTTTCCACTTTCAAACCCACTTTAATCATATCTCTCATTTCTCTTAATTTATTCCACCCACCTTCTTTCACCCTTTTCTTTTATTTTAATATATATATATATATATATTTTATTATAATATATTTTACTCTCCTGGTTAGTGAGCATCCCCCGTTTTTCCATTCTCTTATTATTATTTTTTTTTTATATCTACCAAAAAAAAAAAAAAAAAAAAAAAACAAAACACAACCACAAAATACACACCAACAGCTTCTCACAACTTGTCATTTTATTCATATCAAGGGATTCAACCTCGATCACACTTTTACCATCACACGAAAAAAAAACAAAAAAAAAAGAAAAAAAAAACAACAAATACCAACAACCAAAATCCACAGGTCGGGATTTCCCTTCTCTACTCTGCCGCCAGGACGGAGGCAAAAAAAAGACCCGCGAGAGTAGAGAAGGAAAATCCGCCTGTGGATGTGGTTGTTGGTTTATTTGTTTGTTTTTTTTTTTTTTTTTTTTTTTTTTTTTGTGTGATGTAAAAGTGTGATCGAGGTTGATCCCTTGATATGAATAAAATGACAAGATGTGAAAAGCTGTTGGTGTTATTTTGTGGTGGTGTTGTTTTGTTTTTTTTTTTTTTTTTTTTTTTTTTTTTTTTTTTTTTGGTGGAATATAAAAAAAAATAATAATAAGAGAATGGAAAAACGGGGATGCTCACTAACCAGGAGAGGGAAAATATATTATATAATAAAATATATATATATATATATATATTAAAATAAAAGAAAGGGTGAAAGAAGGTGGGTAGAAATAAATTAAGAGAAAGGAGAGATATGATTAAAGTGGGTTTGAAAAGTGGGAAAAGATGAAGAGAGGGATGTCCCAGCTATTGATGGTGGGTCTTGATGCAGTTGGTATTGCTGGTGGCTCAATTAAGGGTTATGGGTGTCCAGGTCACTCCATTACAGCGACAAAGGTTACAGGAGGTTGGATCCTTGAAGGTCAAAAGCGCTGGATTGATAATGACCAATATAATATATCATACTATAATATATATATATTATAATAGGACATACCAGCCCACAGAACTTAGAAACCACCACCAGTAACCGTGGGCCAAATTACCACCACGTGAAATGTATCGGGAATCTCATCTTGGCAAGCGGCTTCCTGCTTATGACGGAAGAAAGAGCTTGTATACTGCGGGTCCTCTCCCTTTCACTTCAAAGAGTTCAAAAATCACTCTCATTGATGAAGATGATGGAACAGGCGGTGCTAGGTGAGAGAGGGAATTCAGAGTTGTGATAAAATTGTGCACGTGCTGACCTGCACCATTTGGGGTTGTTTTTTACAAGGAGGCAGGCCGATGCACCGCAAGAAGCTCTCGCACGGGGTTTGCATTCTGTCTTCTCTCTGCTCAGTCTCAGCTCAAAAGCTATGGAGAAGTGTTACCCGACTGCGAGCGAGGATACAAGAAGGCTATTGACAAAGCCAAGAGAGAAGCTCAGAGGCTCATCGCTGAGAAGAAACTGTGCTCCGATAATGCTCCGTCTCGCATGGCACTCTGCTGGACTTACAGTTGATCTATCCTATCATGACAACCACTGATTTTTGGCAGTCGCATGAAGTGCTTGCTCTTGTCCTTATGAGCAGGTCACTTCACCAGGATGGATTCAACATTCCGGCTGATACTATGATTGGGCTGCTCATCACCTCTGGCTGGAGAACGAACCGCACCATTGATGGTGCCCATGTTGAGTTCTTCGAGAGGAATTGGCTATCCCCTTGGAAATTACAGGTAGTTGACTAAAATGGACCCAAATGAGCTGGTTCCGCTTTATTGGATATTTGAATCCTCAGAACAAAAGACAGAGATTACAATTATGCCAAGAGAGAGAGACAAGGTTCAGTTAGAATTTGTGGGCACGGATGGGAGTATTTGCAGAGGTCCGCGGCGGCCAAGGCGAGCTGCGGCCCCCGTGAAGCAGAATTATTAGATTTCTAAACCTCTCTTGAATACCATGTAAAATATTTGATGTATATTATTGATATATAATGTTTCTATATTTACAAATGGTGAGTTGCTCATTTATATAGAGAGGTGAGTGTAGTAGGTGAGAGCTAGGTGAGAGTATGGTGTGTAGGGTGTAGGTAAATTGTGTAAGTATGGTAAATTTTAAACAGAGAGTCATTACAACTTAGTGAAGTATGTGAGAAAATAAGTGAATAGGTTTGAGTCCGGTGGACGGCTAGGTGAGGTTGCCGCCCCGGTGAAGCGAAAATATTAGGTCTAAACCTGCTCTGATACCATGTTAAAATTTGATGTATGAAAAAAGAGAGAATGAATATGTTTGATGATTGTATTTATTGATTTGATGTTATCTTATGTGTGTTGAAGCTCTCTCTTTATAGAGGAGAGGGAAACAATTACAACCGAAAGTAGAACGCACAAACAAAACAAACATATTTAAAAGGTACATTATTAAAGCATACTAATTATTAATTACTAACTGAAAAATACAATGTATAAAAATTTGATTGTTATATTGATTTTGATTTGTTATTTGTTTACAAGGATTGATAAAGATTAGAGTTAGGTCGTGTAGGTGAAGTATGTGAGGTAGTAGGTGAGTGTTTAGGTGATGGAAGTGTTGGTAGTGATGGTAAATTCTAACAGCCCCCCGCAAAACTCAAGGAGATAGAAACTAAACCACTGAGTTTGAAGAGAGAACAAAAACAAGAAATACATAAAATAAATAAAAAAAAAGATAGGAGACACTGGTATGGTCGTGTCAACCGTGTGAAGACACTGAAAGTGTGTCTAACGTGTTGGTAGAGGACACTTTATGGGGTTTCATAACTTGATAGAGACCTGTATGTGGTGTCATAACGTTGTAGAAGACCACTGTATGGTGTGTCATTACCGAGTAGAAGACAGTTTATGGGGTCATGTCGGACCGTTGTAGAAGACCGTTTATGGGTCATGTCAGAACCGTTGTAGCAGACAATGTTGTGACAGTTTACAGAGTCTTGTCGGACCCTTGTAAAAGAAACTAACCGAATCTACTGTCGCGGACGTTTACAGATCTTGTCGGACCATAAAAGGAGCTAACCGAATCAATGTCGGACAGTTTACAGAGTCTTGTCGGACCCTTTAAAGGAGCTAACCGGAATCAATGTCGGGACAGTTTACAGAGTCTTGTAGACCCTTAATGATGCTAACCGGAAATCAATGTCGGGACAGTTTACAGAGTCTTGTCGGACCCATTAAAAAGCGCACCCTCAAAAGTTGCCCAATTTTGTCAAAAGCGTCTGCCATTAAAAAGCGTGCCCAATTCATCAAAAGGTGTCCGACATGATGGCGAGCACGTGAGTGCCTTGTGTTGCCTGCCCGTTTGTGTCTGGCGAGAGGCGCGCGATGCCGTGGCGCCTCGGCGTATAATACGGAGGCTTGAGCTGAGCTGAGGCAAAAAAAACCTCCAGAGAATTCTGAGAGAGAGATTCTGTAACACCTTGTTTTCTGAGAGATAGTTCTGAGGCATTACCATTCTAAACCTCTAAAAACCACCCTTTCTGGAAAAACTCTGCCTCTGCGGAGAAGAGAAACTTGTTGGAACACTGGTAGCCCAAGAAAATGTCTTCATCTCCCGAGTCTGCTCACTCTCTTTCCCGACCTCAACGAGTCAACAAGAGAGAGAACTGGAGGTGGCACTTGGAACCTCAACCATGCCCGAGTTTACTCCGCTGAACTTGCCGATGCGTCTGTGGAGCAAAAATGCAGGGCAAAACAGATGTGGAAGCAATCAATATACACTGAATCATTGTTGGAAACCATTGACTTGCGTTACACAAATCTGTCGCACGGCTGCAGAGACAGGACAAATAGGTGCAACAGTTAAACTCCCAACTGGCCTGCTCCAACGATGTATAAGGAATGCGGAGCAAAGATGAGTGTGCTGAAGCAGAAAAAAGAGCTGTAAGCGGAAGGCCACGTGATGTTCGATTTGGAGGTCGCCATATGCAGCAGTGGAGGAGCAGGAGTAGTGATCTCCCAGTGGAGTGGGAAACCGAGCACACCGTCAACGACGCCCAGAACGGAGGGCAATGAAGAGAAGCGACCCGCCGAGCAGATAATAAGAAAAACTCCCCCTGTGGCATGTTATTTGTTTTGTTTTTGTGTTTGTTTTGTTTGTTGTTGTTGTTTTTTTTTTTTTTTTTTTTTTTTTTTTTTTTTTTTATGTAAAAATTTGATCGGGGGTTATCCTGAGATGAATAAAATATGGTTGTGCAAATTTGTAAATGTTTTGTTAAGGTTTTTTTTTTTTTTTTTTTTTTTTTTAAATAAAATAAAGAAAGTAAAGTGGAAAATAGTCTATCTATCTGTTAAAAAGTGAGAGGTAAAATGGAAATGTTTGTACAATAAAATAATGAAATAAAGGAGTGGATGAAAGTTGGCCCACGCACACACAGTGTATGATTGGTTGTTATTATATATAATAGTAATTATTATATACTGGAGGTGGTGGAACAGGGAGGATATAATTAGTATGATGGAAATTGGTGCAAAGCCAAGGCCATCAGAATGCGAACAAATGACACTCCCACAGATGCAGCTTGCCATCCCGGCCAACCTGTGTTGTATACTTGACTGACGTGAAAGAGCTTCTGCAATACGACTACAGCGTTGGAGGAGCTGTGTAGCTACGTCTGCTGCGTGCAGTCAGTCATGTATTCTAAAAACCCGGGAGAATGAGCATGTTGCGGAACACTCTTGATCTGGGGCCTTGGTACGAGAAGAGTCCCGCTTCGGTCCTGTTGCCTAAACCACTCAGGTAGTGTCTTCAATAGTGAGAGAGTATATATCTATAAGTTACGAGAAGGCTAGCGTAAACTGCTGAGAAAAATCGCCAAGGAGAGGCTCATGGCGTTGCGCCGTCGACGATCGGTGAAAGTGAAGGAGGGAACAAAGAGTAGATGGCGAATGGAAGAGACTGACGCAAGCGAGCCCAAAAACGCAATGGTCTTGATCTGATTAGAAGTACTCTTGGTTCCATCCTTGCAAGAAGTTTGACAATTAATATCCGAGTCCTCCTGAACAAAATCGAGGGAGATTGCATGTTAGATGAAGAAGAACCACTGAAAGGGTTGACGTA